CAAAATAATCAATGGGAAAGATTCAGGAATGGTCATGAGCGTAGATGGCAACGATCATTTTCCCAAGAAATAATACACATACTTTGACCAAAAAAGGCTTGCAAGGTTGAACAAACGTCAGGTTGGTGAGGCTGCTCAGGCCATGAGAAGAAGATCAGGCTACTTTTAAGGCTGTGATCCATAAAACCCTACACAGCTCAAATCCAGGTTATCTCAAGGACCATAGCAACTGACTATGGTTCCTCTGCATCAGACACCAAGGTCCAGCCAATTCTGCAGTGGCCAAAACAGGACAAGGTCTATGTGTGCATGCATTGATGCCTGCAAGCATGGAAATGGCATCGACAACCTTTCCTGACACGTTAGAAAAAGTAGTTCTGCTAGTGTAACCCACAGCTACACTGGAATAAAGCTACTATAGGATTCAAGCCTGACTGTGATCGAAAGGCAGATCTTAGGATGTCCAGGTGGAAACTTGGTGGGTTGCTATATCAAAGAGACTTTCCCTGCTCCCTTTAAGCCTCAAAGGATGGGCCCAACATTATCCATCAATGCTACTTGCAAGGGTGGTGAGGGGCACATGGAGAGACTACTGCAGATTGATTTTGTGTTAGAAAACAATTAATTGTTTCACACAAGAGAGATCCAGCTTGAAAGGCTGCTGCTTTACATCACTGACCCTGGGCGCTGTTAGTTGGCAGCTGAGAAACGTCATGGGTTGACAGAGGGTTAGACACCTGGAAGCTGCTTAGTCAGACTCCAAATCTCTGGAAGGGCATTTGCAATTTTTCAAAAAGAAGGCAGGGCTGACCAAGAATTGCAGAGAGGTTGTGTGGGTCATAAAATGACACTCAGCAATTGGGAGCAAGGCGGCGGTGCTAAACCATGGGTGCATCAACACGGTGGAAGTAATGCCATTTGGTGCCACTTTAAGTGCTGTCGCTCCATCCTATGGAATCTCGGGATCTGTAGTTTTATGAGCTCGGCACAAATCTGGCCAAGAAAAGCCCCATAGCTTTAGGGTCTCCATAAGTCAGAAACAACTGGAAGGCCCACAATGGCAAAGAGCATGCTGGTGGCGGGCTTGGAGCTTGTAGGGATTCTATGGGGGAAACTGGCCCTTGGTTTCTAAAGAGTAGCCTTTACTCGCTGTAGGCCAAGCTGAGAGAGGTTGCCCCTGGGAATTCATTCCCAACCCCACAAGACTTTGCCTCAATGCAACAAAAACAAGGCCTACCAATTTCTTCAAAGAGGCCATTGTAAATCATTAAAAAAGCAGAAGAAAATTAGTTCAAACTTCAAAATTCTGGGAACATTATATGGCCAGCTCTATATAACATTAATTGAAAGATCTATTTGACACAACCATAGAGAACAGGACAGGGAAATAATATTTGGGTGGTGGTGGTGGAAATGAAGACAAAAGATTAACAGAAAACAACAAATAAGGGAAAATAGATCTAGATCTAGATTCCGAAACTCTGGTCTTCCAGGTGTTTAGGACTTCAGATCCCAGAAGCCACAGGCATTTTGGCCAGTAGTCTAGGATTCTGGGAGCTGAAGTCTAAAACATCTGGAAGACAAGAGTTTGGGAATCAGTGATAGATGAAATCTTAGAGAAAATTCAACTAGGTTAGAGAAGAAGTAAAAAAAGAAAGAAGACAAATGAGTTCAGAGAGGATAGATAATGAAAAAAAGAATACATGTTAAATGTAAGTGGAGATTGAAGAAATGTTTGGAATGATTGGTTTATTTGTCTCAAGATTTATTAACATTCATATACAAGATACAGAATGACTATATTTGTGGATATATTGTGTAATCACAATGTTTTCTTTTTTAAATTATAATTATTTGCAATTATTTGCAATGAAAATTGTATTAAGAAAGAAAAGAAAAGAAAAGAAAAGAGGCAGTTGTGGGCTCCTGGCTCCCTTCGTGTCGTATTAAGACGCCTGCTTTGCAGGCAAAAATCCCTTGCCTAGCTTGAAAGAGCTGAGAACACATGTTTGAGCTGCTAATTAAAAGTCGGAACCGAGGGCCGCAGCTGAAATGGTGTTCCTTCTCGTGTTCCCAGAATGAAAACCAAAGGAGTTTCATCCTCTGAGGTTTTTCTTTTTCTTTCTTTCTCTCTCTCTTTTTCCTTTCCCCCCTCTTCCCCCGCCATCCACAAATTTCTCTCTGCAGATTACTGGAAGATGGGTTGTGTGTGTGGGGATGTTGTTTAGCTGCAATGGTAGGATTATTATCTGGGGAATAGTTCTTTCCTTGGCACAGAGACGTTGAAGTCTTGGTCATGGGATGAAAAGGAGGACATCAAAAAGGAGAGGCAAAATGGTAAAGAGAGGGATGGAAGGAGAACAAACATGAAGGAAGAGGTGGCAGAGAGGATGCAACACAAGTTGGCAACCTCCCTCTTCTCCACTCACAGATGGTCTTCACATCTTCCCTCGCTCTGAAGGAAGGCTGTTAAAAATGACCTGTCCTTAGAGAAGCCCTGTGCAGCCTTGCAGATGAGGGTGAATTGCATCTCCCAGATTATCTCAGCCTTGCCTCCGCTGGCTAGGCCTGATGGGAGGTGCAGTCCAACAGCAGCTGGAGCGCCACACAATTCCCATCCTGGTTTCATTGGCATTAAAGGCACCAAAGTGAGGGGTGACC